GCTCGCGCGCACCGGCGCCCAGATGCCGACCCAAAAGGGGAGGTCCCAGCTCCTCCGGCTTATGTATTGCACTGATGAGAACTTTCCAGAATCTGCGGCATTTACTCACCGGCGCCTCCACCGGCCCCTCCACGTGCCACTTCCGCTTCCTTCTTCTCGAGCCTTCTGGAAAGATTCTACCCAATGGGTGCCTGTCCCCCGGGGACAGCGGCGGTTGCCGTGGTGACAGGACCGCCGCTCGGCCGCCATTGGCTCAAGCGGCAGGGCTGACCCTCCTCCACCCCCGCCCGTCCTTCACTGTCCTAATTACACTGGCAGTGAAGAATGACTCAAAAACTCCGAGTCGTCATAATTTGCTAGTGGGTTGTGTTGATCGATCCTTAGCCTCTAAATGGAGGCTGTGCAGGGGAACAAAGATCCCGCTCTGCAGCGATTCCTTGACTTGCGGACGCTAGAAGGCCGAACCACCGACCCCTCAGCAGAGCATGCCGGGAAGCGTAGTCCTGGGGCGGGGCGGTGGCGAGGGGGCGGGGAGGGAGATCTGGGCGCAGTGCATGACGGGATGTGAAGTCCTGACCGCGGGGCGTGCTGGAACTGAGCTTTGTCTGAGTAGCTGGCGCTCCTCCTCTGGCAAGGAGGGTCGTTTTGTTTTGGATTCACATCTTTTGCTGTGTAGATTGCCCAGACAACTAATACGTTCCGCCTTAGATGAAGGGTTTAAGTGTATTCTTTCATCAGCCAGCGGGATATTCTTTTGCAGAGTAAAATGTCACAGGGTGTTTTTCCCCCACTTAAGGAAAGCGGGTTTCAATTAGGGTGTAATTTGAAAGGCTGTCCACCGGCTTTCTGCGTTTTTTGTTTGATCTGAAATACTGTAGCTTTTGTTTCTTTCCCTTGAAAGCTATGCCCCCATTACCTTCCATTTTTAGTAAAGAAACAAGCAGAAACCTGAGGAAAAAAAAAAAAAAGAAAGAAATAAAGCCATGCTGTTAAGTTGAAAAAAAAAAAAAAAGAAAAAAAAAAAAGAAACAAGCAGAGAAAAGGCTGCTAGTATCAGATCTTTTTTTATCTTTTCAAGTTTGCCTGAGATCTGCTCGTTTACTTGCCTCGGATGCCCAGAAATAAGCACACTCTGTGTGCTACTGGATAAAGGTGTTAACTGGCTAGAGTTGGATCCCAAAGTTAGAAAAAAATCTGACTCATAAAGACTAGGGCAATTCCTCTCTGTCCTGCAAGACAACAATTTTAATTCAGGAGCAAGGTCAGAGGCCGAGGTTTAAATTACATGTTCATTGTATATGCCTTTCCATAACTGGCTTGCCACTTAGACAAGTTCCCTGCTTCACTTAATTAAACGTTGAAAAGTGGACAATAATAGTAGCTATCTGAAGGTTGTTGTATTCGTTAAGAATATGTTTGGCTCTAATAATTCTTATGCATCCTTTTTTTTTGGGGGGGGGAGGGTGTGGAAGCAGGGGTTGAACTCAGGCCCTTGCACTTGCCAGGCAAGCTCTCTTATGCATCCTTAACACCCCCCCACCGCATATGAAAACATTAAAATCTGTGAAATCAGGAGTTTTGAAAAGAAAGAACATTTGAGATATAAGATGTGTCTCCCACATAAGAAACTACTGTATAAGCATAAGGGAGCAGACAGATTTGGGTCAGGTTTAATCCTGGCGCTTGAGGGTAAGATGTTTTGTATGAAGTACAGCATGTAGGAGCACCAGCCCTCCTGGAATCGAACTTCACAGGCTGGAATCTTAGCTGTCATTAATTTGTGAGTTGTGTAGCATTGGGATAACTACTAATTCTTCCTGTGTTCAACCATGCACGGCTTATATAATGATAAAGTGCATATAAAACATCATGTAATCATACTGTGTGTCATCCTAGGCAAGCCTGTCAAATGGAAACAATATTTATTTTTGCTCGGATTTTGTAAAGATTCAATATGAATAAAACATATACTATGGTAAAACATCTAGTATTCAATCATTTGAAGTAAGAACAGTGCCAGGAAATAGTACCAGTGATGAGAAGCTGTAAGAACTACCATAGTATCTAATTAAAATGGTTGGCATTTTTGTTAATTTTCCTACATTTTATTACTTTTAATATTTTTATTATACACAATTCCCCATAGTGTTTTTGTCAGTATCAAAAATTTTATTGAAACTTAGGCCAACAAGTCTCACAGATTCTTGTTTTGTATTATGCGTCCAGAGGTAAATATAGAATTAAAGTGAGTTTTTCCTATCTGCTATCAGTAATAGTAGTTACTGAATTTCATTTCATATTTGTTTCAAAGAGAAGATAGTTAGAATTAGAAGCAGAGATAGCTTTTAAAGAACACTGAAACAAAAAAGGCAAAATTGAAAAAAAAAAAAGCCCAAACAAAAATCTACTAAAAGCAATAATATGCAGTAGATATAAAAAGCTTCAGCTAGCTTCAGTGAAAAGAAGAAAGCACCGGACCAAGAACAGATATATAAATAAACAAGAAAGTGCACATGACCTTCAACTTCTCATGTGAATCAGTATTTGGATGACCTCAGTATCCAGCACAGTAGCAGATGATGGAGGGTGACAGAAGCAGCATAAAACTTGTTCCATATAAAGATGTGTTTTCTATGGTTTCTCTCTAATGCCAGTACATCATAGATGCTCAACTACTTGAAATCTTGCCCAGTTGAGTCAGTATTTGCTTATTAAAGGATTTTTGTTTTTATATATTTAAACTGTTCTTAGAAGTTAATTGGTTCTGCTTAAAAACCTATTCTGTGCTTATATTGAATTGAAAATCTATTATATCCTTATTAGAACAAACACCTAAAAATAGGAATGAATAAAGAAATTGTGCTGGGAGCAAGACTTATTAAAAGGTAGATATAAAATTAAGAGAATCTTATCCTCTCTGCTAGCAGCCAGGATGGGGTAAGAGTGGGGGACCCAAGATTACCCTTATAATAAATGTGGCAGAAAACCTCAGCTCAATGTATAGGAAACTGTTCTTGCTGGCCCCTCCAAATCCTCCAAGAAACACTTTCCCACTGCAACAGTGTGCTATGTCATGTATCCCGGCCTCCTTCCTATGTCAAAGTGCGTGTATTTGTATTTGTTCTCCTGCTTACAGAGCTCTTCCACTGGCTCTAAGGTGGACCAGCTTCTTGGCTTCTTTTGAGACTCATTTTACGTCTTGCCTCCCATGAAGGAAGTTTCTGAATGCTGTCCTAGTAGTAAGCACATTACCCCTCCCAAAGGACAACTTAGAATTTGTTGTTATTAAAGAGAAGTTGGAGCCAACTCACCTTTGGAAAGTCTTCCCTGGCCCTAAGTATTATCTGAAGCATCTACCGATGACTGTTTCTTATTATCTACTTATTTCCTTCACAAATGTACTCCATGATGTTCAATGCTATGTGTATTTTACTTCCTCTGTCTGATTGTAGGGCTCAGGTATTTACTGTTAGGCTTGGGCCAGTGGCCAGTCCCTTCCTCTTACCCATGATTCAGGGCCGGACAGGCATGGGATGTAGGCAGCCCAATCAGAATGACTCTTAGCACTATGGATTAGAATGTTGGGACTTGAGGATTGTCTGTGACCCCCTTTCTCCACTGCCCTTTCTTTTTCCTTCTATCCATCTCCTTCTCCTTTCCCCATCTCTGTTGTATGAGGTTAAAAGGTCCAGAATTATTACGATGACCCTACCACCATCCTGGATATGAAACTTACTTATGGAGGTAGTTAGAACTAAGGAAATCACAGCAGGAGCTAAGACTTCTAAGTTATTCCTGTGGATTTAAATTATGTGAACTACATTTCTGTACTGTGTAAGCTAACTTGAATCAGAGTTTCTGTTACTTAATGTCAAAAGTCTTCCCTGGCCATAAGTATTACCTGAAGCATCTACTGATGACTCTTTCTTATTATCTACTTATTTCCTTCACAAATGTACACCATGATGTTCAATGCTATGTGTATTTTACTTCCTCTGTCTGTAGGGCTCAGGAAGGCAGTGACTGTTTTTCTTCTTTCCAGTGCTTTACAGATATTCCATACTTGTTGATGCAACAAAATATCATACATTTATCAGGAAAAGGAACATTTTTCAGCTTGCTTCTAATATGAATTTGGCAGGCTGGCCAGTTAGCTCATTGTATTAAAGCTCCTGGTTAGGCAGATGCATTCGATCCCCTGTGTGCTGTGCCAGACCTGCCCCCAGGGCATGCTGAGACCTGAGACTGGGCATGGTGGTGCATGCCTGAAATCCCAGTGCTTAGGAGGCTGAAAACAGGAGCATCGCTATGAGTCTGATCTATGTAGTGAGACTCTATAGACTCTGTACTAAATACATAAAAAAATAAAAAATGAAAAAAAAACTAATATGAATTTGTTATCCTTGGAACAGGTCACTTCTTGGGCTAGATAATTCTTCTAAGAGTTGTCTTGTATATTTTAAAATGTTTAAGTTCATTTCTGGTTACGACTCGCTAGATGCCAGTAGCACTGTCCCTGGTGCAATAACCAGAAATGTCTCCAGACATTGCCAGGTTTCCAAGGACAAAACTACATCTGGGCGAAGGCTCCTGCTCACAACCTAGTTTTGATTTAAGCCTAACTGATACAAAAAAAGGAAGGCTCATAATATATTTTTAGAGAAACTCGAGCCTGTTTGCTTTCTGAGACACAGAGGCTAAGAAATGAGTAGAGAAGGCTGCTTTGAACAAATTAGGCAACTCCAGCCTGCGTGGATCCCCTGAGAAAGAAGGGACAGCTGTCCTTCCTCTGGCCACAGGACATGCACACTACTGGGTGCATTGCCTACTGTAGGTCAGCTGAGAAGCATTTTGTGTGATTATAAATTATTTCTTCTAGAAATGTACCTCTGCCTTAGTACTGCCTTAGCTTCCTTCCTTACACAGTAACAACTAGAATGCCTGAACTGTTAATAAAAGTTAAATTCTTACCTTTAAGGTTAACTTAGCCATGGTATTGTAGAGAAAGGAGGTTTTCTGCTTTAGGCAGAGAACTAAATTCATATTCCAGAAATAGATTCTTTTCTTCTTTGTTTCTTCAGTACATGAAAGATAAAAAGGGAAAAGGAGTTAGTATCCTATGCCTTTTCTATTCTGAACTATAACAGGGTGAATTCAAAGTCCTTATACATAGAGATGAGTCATTTGGTATAGACTCTTTGAGTTTGTCCTGCTAAAAGGAAGCACTTATTTTAATGGGAAAATAACCACCAAAATGTTGGTGTAGTTTTTGACAGGCTGATAGACTCTGGAGCCAGGACATATCTGAGTTTAGGGATATTTGCTACATTATAGATCCTTTATTGGGTGGCAGTTTTTCAAGCTAATTAATAATATACTCACAGATTAGGAGTGATAAAGTAAGTAATATTTTGGAGATATTTAAAAGACAGATTGTCACATGCAGCACCTCCTTTGGATGTTTAGGGAGTCTTGGAGGCCTGGCTACCCTACATTCTTCCTCAAATGGACCTTGAGGGCTTGTTTGAAAGTTTTACCAGGGGAGCACAGCTATTTCATACTCTTGGCCCCGAAACAGTCAGCTGCTGTTGGGTGAAGGGTGTCCTTCTTAACTGAGTGTACAAATTTAGGAGGCATGTACATGAGAAGTGAGAGAGAAAGAGGACAACTGCCCAGTCAGCCAGGTCAACCTATTTGACCCTGCAGTCAGTGGGGTGACAGATGACACTGTCAGCTTGTTCTTATATCCAGGTATTTATTTATTTATTTATTTATTTATTTATTTAGGACAGGGTGTACAGGGTTTTGCTGTGTAGACCGGACTCACAGCGATGCTCCTGTTTACAGCCTCCCGAGTGCTGGGATTACAGGATGCACCACCATACCCAGTCTCAATACTGCCTCAGTGCGCCCCAGGAGTAGGGCTGGCATGGCAGGCCAGGGAATCGAACTCTCAGCCCCCGGGTCTGCCTAAGCAGGTGCTTTAATCTGCTGAGCTATTTGGCCAGCCCTCAGGGATTTGTTTTTATTAAGTCAAATTATTCTTACCTTACATATGCCACGTGAAATGGAATTCCTTCTTCCAGGTACTTCAGGAAAGCTGACTACCTGATTGCAAAGTCATGTCTTGGCAAGGATGGATCTTCACAGTTAACTTGTCTAGTTGTATACGGGCGCAATAATATGGAAATGAGATCATTAGTATCACGCAAATTAAAATTGCTTTGCTTAATTCTCTGACCTAAAGGGTAAATAGCAAAAAGGGATTCATTGCTAATTTAGAACAGTGAGATACTCTAAAATCATTACATATGCCTTTTAACTACTTTCTATGCCAGAAAACCCAAGGTTATAGTGAAGAGAAAAACAACAAAGTATCACTGGAGGAGACATAATTCTAACTTCCTAGAAAAACACAATTACTGGTAGAAAGCTGGTGCACATCGAGTATCCCTTGTCTAAAATGTTTGAGACCACAGTGTTTGAGACTTAGGATTTTTAAATCTATTTGTATAGACATGTAATGGAATACATTCTAGATGGGAACCAAGTTTAAATACAAAATTCATTTATTTTAATACACAGATCTTAATTACACAGATTAGAAATAATTTTAGTAATCTTATGCATCAAACAAAGGTTCATGGTTTGGAATTTTCCACTGTGGTGTCATGTGATTACTCAAACATGCCCACTTTTGGATTTTCAGATTAAGGATGTGCACCCTGCAGTGCTAAGCAACACCCTCAAACTGGCCACTGAAATTCTGAAATATAAACCACAATTCTGGCTTTTCTAGGTAGGTTTGTAAGTTGTTACTTTTGATTTAAAAAATATTTTGTCTCTATGATATATACTACTAGTCCACGTACCTCGTTTTGTGCTGGCAAAGTGTGATAGTCAACGTTGTCAAGTTGATGGATCCCGAAACACCTAAGAAATTAGTAAAGCATATTGCTGGCTGCGTCTGTGAGGGTGTTTCTTGAAATGACTGGTATGTGGGACAGCAAACTGATAGAGCAGGCTTGCCCTGAATGCGGGTGGTACCATCCAATAAGCCGGGGGGCTGGTGGAATAAAAACAGGAGGAGGAGGAAGCCCACTGGCACATGCTTCACTCTCTTCTTTCTGGTCCCCATGAGCTGCGCGGTTTTCTTCCTCAAGCCCTGCTGCCAGGGCGTCCTGCCTCGTCACAGGCCTGTAGCAAAGGAGCCAGTTAAACATGGACTGCAATCCCTGAAGCTGTGAGCCAAATGAACGTCTCCTCCTTTAAGTTAATTTTCTCAGCTATTTTGTTACAGAGATGAAAAGCTAACACACAAAGGTTCTCTTAGCAGTTTGACAATATAAACTTTCCTTTTCATCTCTGAAGGGAGGAAATAGGGCCAACCCAAGACAAAAGGTCAGCGCAGCATCTTGATTCCCTAACCTCTGCTTCTCTGCCTTTCTCCAGGCTCCCCACACTTTGCTCCCAGGCCAAGAAACTGGCTGCTACCTCCCAGTGACTCAAAGCTCCTTGCCTCTGGGCTCTTCTGCACCCTCCTTGAGCACAGAGGCCTTCGTTGCTCATCTTTGGGTGCCTAGTGCCATGGTTGTGCCAGTGTGGAGTTGGGCCCTCATACTGCTGGATGCTGAATGCAGAATGCCCATGCCTCACTGCACCCCACTGTGCCACTCCTCTTCCCAAACTTGGCACCACATCTCATAAAACAGTGTCAACTGTTCCCAGCCATGTGAAGAAACAAATTCACACGCTTTTAAATGGCTGCTCCGAGAACAAAGATATTTGAATTCCATAAATTCCCCTCAAATCTCTCATATTAGAGGTTCCATAGGGAAGATAGTTATAGGGCATGTGACTTTTTACAGAGTTACCTCAGATTACCACTGTAGGACTGGTTGGGCACAGGTGAAATCTTTGGGGCTGCCTTCTTTCTGGCCATGTTCCCCCTCCCCGTGTCCCTGTTCTAGAAGACAGGAAGATATCATTTTTTCCCCCTTGCTCTGCTTACCTGCTTTAGGCCTCTGAGTTTAGGCTTTCAGCTTTCTTTATTGATCCTCCCAAAGCATCCTAGAAGATTGTACTTTCTCTTGTTCTTTGAAGACATTTTATAAATTTTTGTAGAAAGAATCAAAGAATGCCCCTTTCCTTTTTCCTCTTTTTTCCCCCCCTCTCTTATTCTTTTCATCATTTACCAATCACTGCCTTTTCATTTTTGTCTCCTCAGGGTTCTGGAACACACTTCCTGGTCTATATCTGCCAATGCTCTAAAGCAATATATATATATGTTCTGTTCTGATCTGAATTCTTTTTGACCTGCCAAGGGCTGAGAGGCCAAACCAGCAAAGGGAAGCACTAGCACCCTTATATCATTAGCTGTAAGACTGAACATAATTGCCTTTGCCTCCTAGAAAACACCATGACAAACTATGACATCTTGTTTTCCCTCTGGCCTCTGCAGCACACGGGCTTGGATTTCCAGTATGGAACACAGCTTTGTAGAAAGAACTGCAGTCTAGGTGTATCATTTGGCGGGGTAGGGGGCAGAGATTGACTGAAAAGGATTTTTCTGTTCCTCAGGAGTACTGGAAGCTCCATCCTTATGGGTGAGACCACACTCCTCCTTGGACACACTCATAATTCTTCCTGGGGGAAGAGTACATACAGTGTGTGTGTTGTGGGTAAGGAGAGGTGGGGCAGCTTTCTAGAGTGTGTGTGTGTTGTGGGGGGAATGGTGATATTGAAAAGCCTTCAGCTGGTTTCAAGATGGTTTTAAAGACCTTGTTGGCTTTTTTTCAATAGCCATGATTATAGGGTTAACCAAGGTAAAACCAATATAACCAAACCTTTATGCTTTTAAATTTGTCTTTATACCTTACACAATTAGAATTCCTATTAGCCTTCAACTTCAACTATTCTTTTTTTTCCCTAACAAGTTGTGTTTGTCCACTTTGTGTTTTACCAAAATATCCAAGACAGTACTTTACAAAAAAAAGGTTAATACAGCTCACAGTTCTCGAGGTCCAAGAGCACATGCTGGTACCCTTCCACAAGGCCCTCTTGTGACATCACAGCATGGCCGAGAAACAGAGGGAATCAGCAACGTGCAGAAGAGGCTAAGAAAGTAGGGTGATCTTACTTTGTAACAATTTGGTTTCTCTAGAACTAACCTAGCCACTTGAGACAGTCCACTTTTGAAAGACACCATGAATCCATTTGTAGATGGAATCCCCATGATCTACTTACCTGCTTACGAACTCTACCTCTTAAAGGTTCCACTGCACCAGCACCACCACTCTAGGGATCCAGTTTCAGCCACACAAAGCTTTTGGATACACACTGAAACCACATGCAAGCTACAACACAAGTCAACTCCACACTTTCCTTATACAGAGTAACCTGGATGAGCTCCTAAAATGGGGAAGATCTTTACTCTGTACCAGCAATACTTTGAGGAACAGTCCACATCCTTGCCCTCGGAATGCTGACAGCAGCCAGCTCTCAGAAGGAGAGCAGAGTTATGAGCCTGGTCAGCTAGGTTCTGCAATATCAGTAGACAACACTGCACTGTTGGAGTGGATCGAACTGGCTGTAAATCCTGGCCACTATAACCACTCTCAGGCAGACTGCTTAACTCCACTGAAATGTCACCAGCAAATGCAGTTAAAAACTCCTCACTCTGGTGTTGTGGGGAATCATTTGATAACACCGTGAACCATAAGCAAAGTTCCTACTGTGAAATGGGAACACAAGAAATGGCAGCTACAGTTGTTAGTGTCTTGGTTACTAATCCCTTGGTCACTAGAGGATTATCAATCAATGAAATCATTATCCTCATTTTTCTTAGTGTACTGTTTATGCAGCATGACTGCTTCTATAATCAACAGCCCACCAAATTCAAAAAATCAGATCCACATTAATATCTTTGCAGCTAATTCTAAATTAGAGAGCCAGCTTTTAGAAAATTAATATGCCTCCTTTCCTTTGTGACAAACTCCTAAGAATATTAGAAGTACCATACATTTTTAAATTGTCGTGATACTAAAAAGGTTACCTTTATTTTCTTTGCCTTTACTTCTAGGACACTAGTCTTCTGACTCCTCCCAATGTTATTTCATAACACACTATATTTCCGCTGTGTGGACTGCTCTAATGATATCAGTACATTTCCCAAGGAAGTACTATGGAATTGTGCATTAAATGGATTAGTTACTCCATTTTGTTCTTTCAGCTCTGGAAGTTCCCCAGGTTTATTCATTCATCCATTCATGCAGCAAATATTTATGGAATTCCTCCCATGAAAAACCCTTAGTAACAATGTTATAGTAAATCAAAAATCATTAACAAATTTTATGCCTGCTTGCTGGGGTGCTGGCACAAAGGGAAGTGTAGGTGAAGCCAAGGGCTTAGGAACCAGAGAAAGCCAAGGTCAAACCTCAATTATCTCACTCTAATTATGTTACTCTGGGAAGTAATTTAAGATCTTTGCGTTCCATCATTTTTATTTTCAATCTGTGGGTCCTCCCCATGCATTCAACAAACATGTCCACTTCGTGTTAGCAACATTGCCCTGTCATTTACTCAGGTGCTCTTGTTAAATTCTTGCCAGATGTGGTGGCTCATGCCTATAATGCCAGGACTCAAGAGGCTGAGCCAGGACCACTGCCACCATTTCAAGGCCAGCCTCGGCTGCATAGTGAATTCAAGACCACCATGTCCTACGTAAGGAGATACACACACTCTCTTTCTCTCTCTCTAAAAAAAAAAAAAATCTTATTTTAATCCTATTAGGCTTCTGGACAGTAGTTTTTCTACAAGTGTTATCTTTCCCAGCACTTTTAATTTATATATTCATTCACCAAACTTTGACTCTTTGCTAAGGGCCAATCACTCTAGGAGGCAGTGGGCTTAAAGGAAAAGACAAGGAATAAAGACTGCTTGCTGTTCTACTTTTCTCCTTGCTGAAACATGTCAGTCCAAAACCAATCAGTGGGCTGATCTAGTAATTACATGCCCTTAATCCCAGCATCATACACTAGATCCAGCTGCCTCTGAAAAAGTTCCACATATGACTTCATGACGCTTTGGGGGGACATCTAGACATAAGCCATAACAACTGTCTCACGCTTTTCAATCTAGTTTGGCATTGTCTTAATCTG